GGAACACTCCTGTTTTTGTGATCAAGAAAAAGTTGGGGAAATGGAGGTTGTTACAGGACCTCCGAAAAGTCAATGCAGTCATGGAAAGCATGGGGGCATTGCAGCCTGGTATGCCCTTGCCTACCATGCTCGCTGCAGGTTGGGAAATCTTGATCATTGATTTGAAGGATTGTTTTTTTACGATCCCTCTGCATCCTGATGACAGACCAAAATTTGCTTTTACTGTGCCTTTTGTCAACAATGATCAGTCTGTACGAAGATATCAATGGAAAGTTTTGCCACAGGGCTGCAAGAACAGTCCGACCATTTGTCAATGGTATGTGACCCAGGCCTTGTCCGGAATCCGCGAGCAGTTCCCTGACATGTATTGTTATCATTGCATGGATGACATTCTGGTGGTGGCTCCCACTCAGGAGGAACTGCAGAGGGTTTGGCCTCAGTTGTTCTCCGCCTTGCATTCTTATGGACTGCAAGTGGCTCCAGAAAAGGTTCAGAGCTGACCTCCTTGGAAGTATTTGGGGGTCAAGATTCTGGAGCAAACCATTCAGCATCAGAAGGTGCAATTTCCAGAAACTATTGCAACCCTGAATGATTCCCAGAGATTGCTTGGGGTCCTCAATTGGTTACGTCCCTATCTGGGGCTGACCACAGCACAGCTGTCCCCGCTGTTCAAACTTTTAAAGGGGAGACCGAGACCTGAGTTCGCCTCGGAAATTGACTCCTGAAGCGCAGCAAGTGCTGGAGGAGGTTCAAAAGGCTCTGTCTACTCGCCAGGTTTACCGAGTAGACCCTTCGGTTGATATCACTGTTTTCATTACCTATCCAGACAGTCATCCCACGGGTATCATTGGCTAGTGAGATGAAAAATGGCCTGATCCTTTGCACATCTTAGAGTGGGTATTTTACCCCATCAACTCAAAAAGATAGTGTCTTTGCTGATTGATTTGGTTGCCCAGCTGATAATCAAATGCCATTATCGGTGTTTGCAATTGATGGCAGCCGATCCTGCAAGGATCGTCCTTCCAATGGAACGGGACACCTTTGAGTGGGGTCTCATCAACAATGTTCCTTTGCAATGTGCACTGCAAAATTTTTTAGGGCAAATTGTTTACCATCTGCCCAGTCACAAATGTTGCAACTGGCAAAGACAATCAATCTATCCTTGCGACCGAAAAATAGTCAAGTGCCAGTGCGGGAACCCACTCTCTTCACTGACGGTTCAGGGAAAACGGGAAAGGCCATTGTGACCTGGAAGGAGTCTGGATGGCAAGTGCTGGAAGGCCACATGTCCGGCTCAGCCCAGTTGCTTGAGCTGAAAGCCGTTGCTATGGCATTTCAGAGGTTCTCTCAGGTGCCTTTGAATTTGGTCACTGACTCTGCGTATGTTGCAGACATAACCAAGTGGCTGGATTGCTCACTGCTGAAGGAGGTCAACAATGCCGTCTTGTTTCAATTGCTGAGAGCATTGTGGTGTGCAGCTCAGGACCGGGTTCATCCATACTACATCCTGCACATTTGGAGTCACACCACTTTACCAGGTTTTATAACTGAAGGTAATGCCAGGGATGATACGTTGGCTAACCCTGCGTGGATGGCACCGCAGCCTGATAGAACTGCACAAGCCAAGGCGTCACATGATTTTTTCATCAAAGTACACATACTTTGCAAAATAAGTTTGATTTGACAGCAACCGAGGCTCGTGACATTGTCAGCTCTTGTGCTGACTGTCATGGGTTTGCTGCACCTTTACTGGCAGGGGTGAACCCCAGAGGCCTGAAAGCCTTGCAGCTCTGGCAAACAGATGTTACACACATTGCCGAGTTTGGTCGACTCAAGTATGCGCATGTGTCTGTCGACACCTTCTCGTCAGCCATGTGGGCAATTGTTCACATGGGGGAGAAGAGTCGCGACGTGATTGCTCATTGGAGAATGGCTTTTGCAGTTTTGGGGATACTTTCATGCATAAAGACTGACAACGGCCCTGCCTATGCCTCACACAAGGTACGTCAGCTTTTGCGCCTGTGGGGAGTCTCACACAAGTTTGGCACTGCACATTCACCAACACCTCAAGCCATTGTTGGATGCACGCATGGCACTTTAAAGTGTGTTCTGGAGAAACAAAAAGGGGGAATGCCAGGAGAGACTCCACACAGTCAGTTGGAGAAAGCTTTGTACACAATCAACCATTTAACTGTGCCAAAGAATTCAGAGGTTCCTGTTATTTTGAATCATTTTCTCTCACTGCATTCAGCAGGTGAGAAGCACCTGCCCCAAGCGAAGGTCTGGGTGTGGGACCTTGTCACCAATAGGTGGGAGGGCCCATGAAACCTCATTACTTGGGCCGCAGGTATGCATGTGTCTCCACAGGTATCGGGGTACGATGGATACCTGTGAAGTGTGTTCGCCCTGACTTGAGACAGCAGAAACAGAATGTGGTCAACAGACAGCCTGTGAACGGTGACCATGGTGCTGACCATCCATCACAATCTTCAGATGATGTTCAAGACACCGACCATCAGTCAGCCGGCCCCTCCACAAGGGGAAAATGAACATTTGATTCGCTTTGCTTTTGGACATGGACTGGTGACGAGTTAGACTGCCAGCATTACAAGCAGACTAACAATGTTTTAGTGTTGGTGATGGAGTTTTAGATTTAACAGTTAAATTTGTAAAGAGTTATGGTGTAAGTCAAAATCTCTTTGACTGTTCTGAGTCATCATCCAATGGGGGTTTTGAATTATCAACTAGTGAACCTCGGAGTTGTATTTGTCCTCTTCTTTGCAAGGTGTTCTGACAAACCCCACCTCCTTCTTTAAACAAAAAGGGGGAAATGTGGGTCTCAGATTCAGTCAAATAAAGAAACTGAGAGTTTCTAGCCAGGCAAAAAGCCTGGGAAAGAGCTGGGAAAGAATGTAAATAATTCTTTATCTCTCTTGTTTATCACATTCTTTATAGTTAAGTTCTATCACTATGCGTCAAGCACTCTGCACCAATGCTGTAGGTTGTTTTCACTTCAGAACCAAAGGATTTGATCCTTGTGAAGCTCTGTATAAAAGAGCAGTGTATTTTGAATAAATCGGAGTTTTACTCTCAGCACCTTTCTGAATCAGAGTCTGAATCATTCTCGATCTGCCTAGAGAGAGATAATACAAGCTCTTCCCTTTCTTCCCTCACTCCAAGCTTTTCCCTCACTCGGGGCACTCACAGGGCTTCCCTTAGTGGCACCTCCGTTGGTGCTGGGTCAAGGCTGAGCTCTGTGAGAAGCTCTTCCCACACTTCCTACACTCGTAGGGCCTCTCCCCAGTGTGGATGCGCCGGTGCACGGTGAGGCTGGAGTTGTGCTTGAAGCCCTTCCCACAGTCGGGGCAGCGGTAGGGCCTCTCCTCTGTGTGAATCCGCTCATGTACGAGAAGAGTGGAGCTGCTCTGAAACCTCTTCCCACACTGGGGACACTCATAGGGCCTCTCCCCTGTGTGGATCCGCTGGTGTTTTCTCAGGTCTGAGCTCCACCCAAAGCTCTTCCCACATTCCAAGCATTCATAGGGCCTCTCCCCGGTGTGGATCACCATGTGCCGGACCAGGTCCGAGCTGTCTCTGAGACTCTTCCCACACTCTCCACACTTGCAGGGCCTCTCTCCAGTGTGGATTCTCTGGTGCCGGATCAGGGTGCAGCTCCAGCTGAAACCCTTCCCACATTCCAAGCACTTGTGGGGCTTCTCCCTGCCATGAGGCTTCTCCACCAGCTCCGAGCTCTGCCTGGATCTCCGCCCGCCTTCCTGGCTCAGGGGGGCTCTTTCCTCCCCGCAGCTCCCTGAGCTGGGTTTGCAGCTCCTCCTCCTGCAGCATCTCTGGGGCTTTTCCTCCTCCTCCATCCAGCCACGCCCCAGGAATGACAAATCCTGGTTTGGGGAAAAAACAAGAGGAGGGCACATTGGACTGGATGTTCCTCCTTGCCCAAGTTCATCTCAGGAAGTCATTGGGAATCTTGTGTCTGTAAGAATCTCCAAAACACCAAGATTCAGCCCAAAAATCCCACAAACTTCAAGACACAGAACAAAAACTCCCTAAACATCACAACTCATCAAAAGCCTCCTCCAAAACATAAAGATTCAGTTGCCACATAAAACCAAAGCACCAACATTTAGCCAAAGAAAGCTCAGAAACACCAAGATTCACCCCGTGAAAATCGTGGATCCATTTCCATAGTCACCTGCTGCATGTGGGGGGAGCAGCGCTCCTGGGGCTGGAAGGAGGCTGCAGACACAGGGAGGGGTGGAACCTTCAGCTGTTTCCTCTTTCTGCTCCTTCTCCTCCTCCTCTTGTGTATCTCGTCTTCCTCACACTCCTCTTCCTCCTTTATTTCTCCTTCTCCTGCTCAATCCCACCTTCTCCTGCCACCTGCATCATTTGACCATTCTGTTCCTCAAGCCTGCTTCTCCTTCCCTTCTCCTCCTGCCCCCAGGCCCAGCACCCACTGCCGGCTCCCTCTTCCCCCCA